ATCCATGGCGAATCCCATCATCTAGAACTAATTTTGGCTTCCAGAGGCTGAGTTAGAGATTACCGTCACTGTTAAACACCTTATATTCCGAAGAAGTTGATTCACCTTCATTAAATGCCCATGCAACTCAGACTTTCTTATATTGAGTAAAAATGTTTGTTTTATGTTTATTATATCTTCTACTTCAGTTTGTTTTGAAGCGCAACCTATTTTCAATGACATTTATTTTATATGACATCTTATATAAGTTATCTTTATTGTGTTTTTCTTTCGTGTCTGGAGGTCAGTGTTGGTCAACTTTCATTAAATGTCCGTAAAATTTAAACTTTCCTGTAATAAAAAGAATCTTTCTCTTATGTTTGTCATATCTATCTATTTCAAGTGTATTCAGATGACACTTATTATATTGCTAAATGTCATGTTACGTAAGTTATTTTCACTGTGTTTTTTGTGTGTGTGTTTTTGATGACAGTGCCATCACTCACCCTCACACTAACCTAAGGCCCTCACTCACCCTCACAGCTACACTTACCCTCAGCCCCTCAATCACCTTCAGCCCTTCACTCACCCTCACTGAACCTCCAGCCCCTCACGCATTTATGTTCCCTCACGCCCCTCACGCACTCACCCCCCTCACGCCCCTCACGCACTCATGGCGCTCACGCACTCACCGTCCTCACGGACCTCACGCACTCACGCCCCTCACGCACTCGCCGCTCTCACGCCCCTCACTGCCCTCACGGTCCTCACGCACTCATGACCCTCACGCCCCTATCGCAGTCACCGCCCTCATGGCCCTCACACACTCATGGCCCTCACGCACTCACGACCCTCACGCACACATGGCCCTCACGCACTGACCACCCTCACTGCCCTCACACGCACTAATGGCCCTCACGCCCCTCACGCACTCACCGCGCTTACGCTCGTCACGCACTCATGGCCCTCACGCTCCTCAGGCCCCTCACGCACTCACCGCCCTCACGGCATTCAGGCACTCATACTCCTCACGCAGTCATGGTCCTCACAGCCCTCACAGCCCTCACACCTCTCACAATCCTCACTCACTCTCACACTCATGAATTTTCTTGGTTCAGAAACTCACTCACCTTCACCCCACCTGTGAAGATGAGGGTGAGTGAGGGTGAGTCAGTGCCCTCATGAGTGAGGTTTGCCGAGGAATGCCAGCACCTCCTAAACAGCTTTAAAGTCTGCGCGTTACGTCACTTGATGTCACGTCCAGGAGGCCGGCAGGGGCGCTGATTCATGGGTACCAGTGCCGCGTCAGCGTTCGCGTGGGACTGTGATAGAAAACGAGCCCCACGGCGAACGCTGACGCGACACTCGCATCCAATCAGCGCCCGTGCCGGCGTCCCGGACGTGACGTCATGTGACGTAACGCGCAGGCTTTGCTGTCTACGAGGGTATGCACTCCGGACTCCAATTTTCGGTATTTCAAAAAGAAGGACCGTAGTGCGTTCGCAATTACGTTAAAAAAAGAACATGTTTTACGAATGTCGTTACTAGATATTATAGAAATGTCGCTACAAATCTTCTAAATATAATAATTTTTGACGTCGAAAAAAAAAAAAAAGAAAAGAATCGAGGAGGTAAGAAGAGGGAGAGATGAGCGCCCAAAATAAGAAGGCGCGCGGACGTGGGAAACGTGTCGACAGCCACGCGTTCTGCTGTTCGCATTTCATTGGAACCCATGTATTGCGATTGCGATACATGCATTATCACAATCGCAATACATGCATCGCGATTGCGATAAGCATTCCTTCATAAAATAATTTATTTTAGCTATGACTTCGTTTACTGATTTAATGATCATCCGTTTTGCAGGAATGAGGAAAGTTCTGTGTTTTAACAGAGATCTTACTTTGCTACTTTGCTTATTCACCATAGATGTTTGGGATATGGATAACAGTGAAGCTCTGTTTCCTTAGAGATAACAGTACGTTTCATAAAATGTTTTAGGCTGTTTTGTTGTGATGGCGATACGAAGAGGCTGTATATCTTCGTATCGCGATATCACACGCAACGTCAGTGCTTGGAGGCATTGTTATATAATTTTACTGCCTTGAAACACGCAAGAAGAGCAACATAATCGTAAGAGATCTGAGGAAATAAGCATGAGTGATAAGGTTATTGAATGCACAGTGCCAAAGACGCTCATATTGGCCGAGGAGCGCTTTCAGTACGATGAAGAGCGATCTTAGTACGACTGGTTTTAACGACCCTTTCGAAGCTTTGAAACGGTCCAAAATGGCGATCACCATGGCAACCGACAGCGATGAGCCAATCCTTTGAGAGGTTTTGCCGTCTATATGTTGGTATTTGTTTGTGTCCGGCTAGCAGGTAGGAAGGCAATGGCGACTTTTCAAGATCCAGTGACTTTAGGTCATTCTGGCCTCCTTATCGTTTACGATCGGGGTAAGAGTGTACGCGAATCTCCTAGGAATCTAGTTGAACGGAGAGGCGTATCTTCTCGATCATGCACGCGGCAGTATTACGCGGAATACATCCTGTGGCGCCCTTTTCACACTAAGAGGGTGTACATGTTGAACTCGCCACAAGTCTTCATATACATGACCTAGGCTGGCATCACTCCAGCTGCCATTGTGGTGACAATGTATACTAGCAATCACCGAATTTTCTTCTTCTTTTTTTTTTTTTTCTAGTGAAGAATTTAGGCAGGAATGAACGCCGGCATAGGTGCGACGACGTCACGGGCAAACCAAGTAAATTTCCCCTCTCTCTCTCTCTCTATTCCTGTGCACGAGAATAAGACAGGCTTCGTATTGACACCAGAAGAACGAGTCCATGTTTATTTCACACAGTTCCGTTTCATCGGTTCGCCTTCCATACTCCCTTTTTTTTTTATTTTTTACAATCTATATCTCTCCGAAGGCACCAAACATTCATGTCGTTACAGAACGCACATGTGTTAGAAGGCTCTCGCGCGTCGAATGGGGGAGGGGGGGGGGGGGGGGGTTCTGCAACACCGAACATAAATAGTATGCTGTCACAACAAAGCGCACAGGAGCACGGAAAAGGATGTAAGCAGACTACAAAGTGCACAACCACGTAGCTTGAAACTATAGCGCGGAACAGCGACGTAACAACCCACGGAGGCACAAAGATAGCTAGTTAACAGAACTAGTTTGCCCAAAAAACTATACACCAGACCGGTTCACGGATTGCGCGCGAGTGCATTGGTCCGAGTCTTTTCTTCTATTGCTCAGGCGTGCACCCGATACTAGGGTGCCTGGAGCGCGTCTCCGACCGGTGTGTTTAGCGTTCTATGCCCCCGATGTGGCAACAAATGACGTCGCAAAAAGCCGGAGTGTCAAACTCTCGGATGTCGCGATCCTGGCGGTTGGTGGCGACAAATGACGTCACAAAAAGCCGGAGTGTCAAACTCTCGGATGTCGCGATCCTGGCGGTTGGTGGCGACAAATGACGTCGCAAAAAGCCGGAGTGTTGTGCTCTCGGATGTCGCGATCCTGGCGGTTTGTCGTACAAGTTCCGGCAAAAAGCACGAGCGAACGCCAGTGTCGCTGTCGTCGCGGCGTCCCAACACCTGGCTGCCGAAGCTTCCGTGGCCTTGTCAAGCTGGAGAGCGACCTGCAGCGGAACAGGCGTCTGCTACATCCATCACCGCTGCTGTGACGCCACCAGGATCGCGACCGGCGACAGCATGACACTCCTATGACGTCACCAGGTGGAAATCGAGGGACCACCGTCGTGTACGCGGTGAACACACCATTCGGAGACGCGTTCCTGGCACCACGCGGATACTGTATGTCTCCGCCAAATATGCTACAAATATATTACACACCGGAAAAGGAATGCGTGTGAAGTCAAGGCCGGTTCACACATTTGCGCTCGAGTGTCGCCGACTGCGTTCCAACCGCTTGCGGCTGCTTACGGCAAGAGAACGAACTGGCGCCATCTGTTGCGTAGCTCTGGAACACTTATTTTTCCAGAAAAAGACTGAATGGTTTGCACTTTTCGCCAGACCGCATCTACGCGTTATCTTTGAGAAATAGTCGCTCGTAACATTGTCAGAATTATTTGAAGTTCATTGCGAAAGAATGATGAGTAAAACAGTTGGGAACTATATGGAGGATGGAGGTGTTTCAGAGACATCCGATGGATGGCGTCAGTGTGGTCTCCCGACGGTTGGTGGAGGAAGATCCGCCTCAGGGGGCATTGAGACTTCCACACCCCCGGGCTTGGGCATGAACCTGGTTCGAACCCGCCCCTTTTCAAAGGAAAAGAGCCGGAGCCGCGTAAATCATCATCATCATCGTCGTCGTCGTAAGCGGAAACCAGTGACTGGTACGCACTCGGTGCCACTCGAACGCAAATGCGGGAGTCAGCCTTGATCGTCTTCCCTGATTTGACGCACAATTCACGATCATAAGTGTAGCAGTTGTTGAGGACTGAGTGAGTGCAATGGATCACGCACCAAGGTATGAAGGGGATAGCTTTGAGACCCAGCTCAAACGACTAGATTTTTTTTGTGTTTGTGAATTGTTTGAGGCGTTTGCGCACATTTATAGAGTGCCCCAGTCGTGCGAGGTATAATACTGGCTGGCATTGAAGGAGTGCCACAGCAGTTTCCTCTGCGCGTGCATGCACACGTACACACAAGACGACGATCTTGTTTTGCCAGCAGTTGCGACAAATGGAAAAGAAAGGAACTCCTATAGCATCAGCTTCCCGAACCGCATGCTGTAATGAACAGTTGTCGCAAATTCTGCCACAGTAGAAAAGAAAGCGTTCGGCGAGTCATTAGGGGCGTACAACATTGCTAGAATTGTAACAAAACATAATTTCACCTGGTGTGTAAGAGATAAAATGTATCTGTATTCCAGGAATTAAAACGAATATCATTGAAGAAGTTGAAACTCATCGGATATAAAGAACGACGGATTCATATTAATAGGTTCTACAATGTCAGCCACTGAGCTCAACCTTGATACGTTTCTAACGATGCCAGGAGACTGAGCGGTTGAACGTAATAAAACGCAGCATAGAACCAGAAGAATCAGGAGTTTCATTACAAAATACTCATAACTAAAATAATGAGTTGTTCTATGTAATAAAATATAAATGACCACGTAAGATAAAGAAAACTTGCTTGTTTATTGCGATATTGCGTTGTTTTTTGTTTTGTTTAATGTATCCTTGTTTGTTCTTCAGAACTCGAATAGTTGAAAAACAAACGCGTCTTTGGTTCGCGAACAACGTTAGCACATCAAAGTTAAAATCAATACTCGCTTCGTCTTAATCCATCGAACCCTTTGTTGCATATAATATATATATATATATAGATTGACTATAATTAGCGACAACAAGAGGCACTATATGTGCAGGCAACGAAACAAACAGCAAGATAGTGGATGCTCGATCGCTATGTGCTTTTTTTTTATCTCTCCGCAAGTACTATACCGTGAAATAGCTGACACGCTTGACTCGCTGAAAAAGCTCTCTTCAGTCAATCTGAAACTTCAAGATTGAGGTTTCTTGGGAGACTGACATGAACTCGCCTACAAGGGTCGTTTCTTGCATATTAGATGTGGTAAAGGACATGATTGACATTGCAAAATAAGTTGTACATGAAAAAAAAAAAAGAAAACTGAACACGCGCCACACAACGCACTGTCTTCAGCATCTCGGCTTATAGTCAGTGTGAGTATACAACAATTCGAGTTAAAAGCCTACGTTGGCGTTTTGAGACACCTGTGCTGTTGGAACACTTGGCATGTCTTCGTTAGACACAAATCCCCCGAAAGCAGCTCGCATCTCTTCTCAATCCTTCTCTTCGCGAAAGTCACCTCTTCATTTCGGAAACCCGGCATCCACCGAGGATTAAATGCCCGTTTCGTTGACCTTTCATACACCCTGATGGGTGCAAACAAGGCCGCTACTCTCTATTTACACCCGACCCTCCTCTAGATGGGGACCGTGCAACTATTCCGAAAGTGTGTAAGGCGTTGGGTTTACACCCTTTCGGCTGCGCTCACCTCAGCAGGCAGTAAAATGTGAGACGTACAAACTTCATTGGTCAGCGATGGACACTTCAAAGGACTAAAGTATGCCTACATTTGTCTTATCTAGTGGAAATCCCTCTGGAAGGACGTGTAAGAGTAAGTACAAGGACTGTGCATGTGACACTTTTCTTAATCTCATTTCATCGTCAGTTTTTTTTTATTTACATCACGCTGTAGTGTTTTCTTTATGTATTGCAAACAAACCTAATTGATCCTAGCTTATTTAAATTAATTTAAAATCTCGAGAAAAAAACCTTTGGCGATCTGTTTTTATCTTGTTATTGCGAGCTGTACCTTCTGTCGCGGGGACTAAGTATATCATCTCAGCGCGCGTCATTGAACACTGAATTCACGTTTCACCGAGAATCTTGGAACACATAAAGGGGTTCGATCCCGACAAACACGCAAACACTAACAGCACGGCCATCAAAATGAAGTCGCTAAACCGACAACAAAGATCACAGCAAAATGTGTCGAAGACCCGGATGAAAAGTTGCCGGCAGACTCCTCCAATGGACGTCGCAAACTCCGTGACACAATGAAAGGGCGAGTGCGGGGAATAAAAACAATAACGTGACAATGTTACACCAATCATAACGTCTCTCCGGGCTTCATCTTTGCAACGGACGACCTTAGCCAGAGCCACCTATTTAGTTACGCTTCCGAGTATCAGCACTTCGGCCATTTTGGTTCTTAAATATCTTTGTTTCCAGTTATCTGGAGCTTTATCTGAAATCGCGGGAAACGGTTTTTTGTCTTATAGAACTGTGCGAACAGTCCTCGGCAAAACGGTCCGCGAGCATAACAATATGGCCTGAGCTTTCCAACGCCGTAACTCGAGCTCAAAAAGTCGCATTGTCGAATTATAATAATCACCAATGGCGTCCGCTCTGCACCAAGTACCAAAATGGCGGTGCCCAGAGAAAGAGCGTGAAGCGGAGTGCCGATACTCTAAGCCTATTTAGTGGCTCTAACCGTAGCCTAAAAGAGCCTCGAGATATTGACACAAAATTCTACAATCGTCATCGAACACATCCAGTCTTCGACTTAATATTCAGTAAGTACCTTTATGAGTATTTCATCAACAATTACCTAGAAATTGCCTACTATTTTTTCTAATCGAAATAATAAAAAAAGAAAAAAAAAAAAACTAAGATGTATTTTACCGAACTTAGCGATGATTAAAAATATGCACTTAACCGACCCAAACAAAATGGCAGTATCGACTTGCCTGCGAGCAAATCGATAAAATTCGATTGGAGATAGATGTCTCAATCGATTCATAAATGACTTACGTTCGCTCATTGCATTGTTTCAACAGTCGCGATCCATTTGTGAAAAAAAAAAAGTGTTAATACAGCAAGCTGCTCGGATACACGGCAAGAAACCAGCTATATACGCCGACGAAGTGCAGAAAGACTCCAAATATTTAACCCTCAAAAGATATGTCAGATTTGGTGACTCTGACGTCCTATATCCGCTGGCAACAAACGGCCAGGTTGTGTAGAGAAACTCACTTCATCCCTTCCGTCCGCACATCAGTGTAAAGTTCAGTCACGTTGTTCTACATCACTTGTCACAACTCATTTCGAGGAAAGGATGACTGCGCATCCGACTAAGCCATTTCGATTACTATATAACCACAAAAAGACAGTGTGCATGTCACAATGGAGTCGACTAAAATCACTAGACGCCTTCACCCTCAGTCTCGGAAAAATCCGACTCTTCTCCAGGCGATGCTGACGGAAAATGCTGCAGCCTGATTGGTCGAAGCCTCAAACGCCATGCTCCCGTGGCGCCATCTAGTTCTATATCACGAAACTAGTCTGTCGGGTGTTGGCTTCGCGTCACATGACGTAAAAATGTATCGAGTGGGTTGTCATGTTGAGACCTGTTCGAACCCCGAAGAAGAGGCGAGTGTCTCTGCTCTGGAGTTTGATAACAGTGGCTCCGAAGCGTGACCAAAGGAACCACGGCTGGAAGGGGTGTAGCCGATGCCGTCGGCTGTGCTCAGACGCGGGAGTCTCGAGAGTGAGAAGGCAGGAACCAGCAGAAGTCTTCCTTTCATCTACCCTGGACGGGCCTGTGTCACAGGATAGGAGGAAGGAAGGTGCCGGAGTCTTCCAGGGGGTCTTCGCGACTACGCCGACTGCTGCTAGCGGCACGGTTGCTCGAAGCTCCACTTGGCAGTACAGCTGCAAAAATAGAAAACAATATATTATTACATTAGAGTTGTGGAACGTGGGGCAGCGAAATGGCAAATCCCGTTTTACGCTCAGTCTCTTCTTTTCCTCCTTCGCCAATGTCGCAGTCGGGGATAGGATGGTACCAGGAGGTATTATCTTCTTTGCAGATAAGAAGGGGGCTGTGCGTCGGTCTTTGCACACGCAATAGGCATGCCTAGAATAAGCCTAAGCACGTCAAGGGGGTCGGCGGCTTGTATGTTTTATGTTTCAATTAGGAGTTCGAACCATATAAAAATAAATATACATAGGCAGAGTGCAAAAAGATGTCCTAAAAATGGGCACACGAATGGATAAATACGCAACGGTCTTTCTCGCTTTTGTGTCTCCAATATAATTTGATTTGAAAGTGTCATCCCTCACCCTATCTCTTAATTTAGAAGTGATGGTTCGGGTCATATTAAATTTATGTAGAAAAAAAATATATATATGTGAAAGCCATGTTTTTGGGAGGAGCATTCAGCTATATTTTAACGCTGTAGCTATTTATTGTTTTCTTTTCTTTTCCCCGGAAATATCAAATTTTGACGTTCGAGGCGTAGAAATTGTCAGGGTTTCACAATGGTACTTTGCACAGCTACTAATTTTACACCGAGACATGCATGTAGTAATCATTTTTCCTACTTATTTTATGAAAGGATTATAACATGTACACCTAATATAAAAACATTACAATAAAAAAATACATAAAAATGATACGAAACATGTTTAGTAAACACGTTTTAAGGACACATTCACAATTAATTACCTACAAACTACTTCATGTAAAATGGCGCTAAATTTAGCTAAATGAGCACCTTTAGTTGCATTTTACGAATAGTATATAAAAATATGCACAGCCATTGCCGTAGTGATGTTATTATAGCAGAAACGCAAGTGATTTCTCTACATGTGGCAACATTGCACGTCAATACTTAAGAAAAGAAAGCTCAATTTTTTTTAAACTTTTATAGATTGTTTGCGGTATCTTGACCTAACTTGTAATGGCAAAACACCAAAAAACTCAGAAAAAAAAAAAACAAAGACAAATGTTTGCTTAAATTGAGCTAGCTTGGCATAGTTTAGGGCATTTGCCGCATGAGTGAAAGGATACCTTAAATGTGATTAATTACAAACTTAATTACTAAACGTAATTATTTGCCTAATTATATAAAACACTGTTCTCTTCACCTAAATTTTCCTTTTGGCAGGGACCAATGCTACATCAGCCTTTTTTTCTGTGCGATGCATAGTTTTCACAGGAACGATTTGGCCCGCGTTTCGTGAAGCACTACACGCATAGGTGTGTAGCCGAGCGGCTTTTCCAAAGTACATGCCTTTCATCTAGTAGTATTATATTTTACAGAAATAAATAAAATATTACCGAGAGTGTCATTGCATGAACTGACATGGAAACACCCAACCACAAAACCCTTGTAGTTATCAACTTCTATCTGTATTCCAGAGTACAGTACGCATCGATACCTAGAACTGGTAAGCTGGTTTGTTTGCCGTCACACAATGTTCAACGCCAAGATACCGACTTTTCAGGCACTACACTTCCCTTGTCTTGTTTTCACGTTGACAGACGGTCCGCGCGTGCGGGCTTTGTGTTTTGCGATAATGAGCTGCGCATACAGTTGCCAACTGTCGGCAGCCGTGGCGTTCGCCGAGTCCTTCGTAAGCAAAAGGCCCAGGGGGAAAGGAGAGAGGGAGGGGGATATTTGGCGGCAATGGAATGGGACACCAATATAAAGCTAAGCTAGGGACTGCACGAGTTTCTACACCCTACGATAAAGCAGCACCGCTTTACACCCTTTGTCCGTTCTAGAAAACGTCTCTTTGGAACCGTATCGTGCGGCAAAGCCCAATGAAGACAAGCTAGCTCAATTTGAGTGAAGGTTTGTTGTCGTTTTACAGCGGAGCTGTTAATGACTCGTAGGTGGGGTTTTTTCGTGTCCGTCGACAGAAAACCCACGCGCGTGCCTTATCGCCGTTCGCGCACGCCTCAACATTTATGATGTGGTTTTGACGTCTGTTTCAATAAGAAAACCACAAAACATGTGTCAAAACCACGTGATAGATTATAACGCACGCGCCAAAGAGGATAACCACGTAGCGCTCCCCGCATGCGCTTCGCGGTAAAGATTGGGGTTGCATAAGCTGCCACGGCAACGGCAGGGTACGAAGTCTTTCATATATAAAACAGTTTTAGTGCAGTGCATTTACTTTTTTTTTCCTCAGTCATCTGGTATAGACCCTTTTGCTGTTTACAAACATGAACTGACGCTTGCGTCCCAAGCGACTTCCGGTCGCACCGTCTTTGCAAGCCTGTTGAGCTTGCATATGTCACTTGTGCTAGAAAGCATAAATGCTACACGGACAACAAAGTTGGAGCTTTAACGAGGGCCTTGGGCTGTACAATATTGCATCCTGGAGGAGGCAAGTTGGTTTACAAGAATACTGGTAACATTTTACCAGATCTCGCTCTCCTTCGTTCTTTTGGCGATCACTTGAAGAATTGGTAGTTAAACGTTTCATCTACATTTCAAGCAGCGGTGTTAATGTGGCCTTTGTTCATTCTTTTTATAAACCGGAAGTTATCCGGCACGTCAAAGACTGGAGCACCGCCTGGTGGCGTTTGACATAAAAAGGGTTTATAGTGCAGTAGGCAATCGTTGCAGGTGATACCACAGCTTCGCTGTCCAACCACCTTCGCAGCGTGGATTGGAGCCTTAATTCTTTTCTCTTAACGAGGTCATGTATTAATCAATGTTATGCCATCACAAGTTAATTCAAGACACTGCAAATGATTAAGGAGAGTTTAAAATAAACAAAGGATGGTGAGCTTTAAATATTGAGGCGCAACATTTTGAGAAATCAGCTGCATTTCTGAATTAATAACACGACTACCATATGGCTAAGCATTACTTTTTATCTATTCGTAAGATGCACTTAAAGATGCTCATTTTTATTAATGTTTTATTATTTTATATGAAGTCGTTTGTTGGTAAATAATTTCTAAACATGGTCTCTGAAATCTGTTTACTTGACGTGTTTCGTAGCTCTTTTTTTTTTTTGCATACAAACCTTTTATTTTACTTTTTAATATTATGTGCAGATGTTGTAAACCTTTCATAAAATAAGTAGGAAATATCATTACTACGTGCATGCTTTGGTGTGAAACTGACAGTTGTGCAAATTACCATAGTGAAACCTTGCCAATCTCCATGCCTTGAGCTTCGAAACCTCATATCTCCGGAAGAAGATTAATTACGGCGTTCATACTTGGCCGAATAATCCTCCCAAGAACATGGCTTTCACGTATGTATCTTTTACATAAATATAAAAAAAAAATATGACCCGGACCATCATTGTACGAGCTGACGCGGAAACACTCAGTAGGGACCTGCAACATTCGACGTGCGTACCGTGTCATTCACCCTCGCGTTACGACGCGCGGCCGTAAAATCCCGAATGAACGCCCATCCACTGACGGTGAAGAGGAAAAAAAAAAGGAAAATATGAGGTGGGCGATCTTTTGAGGGTGGGCGTTCGTTAGGAGTTTTACGGTATGTGTTTCTCAAGCATTGGGGCTGTGACGTTTTGGAGTCGCCTTCACTAAACGCTAATGCCCCAGTCACACTTCAGCGAGAAACAAAGAAAAGCTATACACCGACAAGCCTCAAACAGGTGCAGCATTCACGCAATGGTACTTTTGGCGGGTTTGCCGTCTGTCGGGGCTCGTGACGTAAGCACAAGCGATTGCATTGCCACAGATAACTTCGAGTGCATGCTGCACATGTTTGACCCTTGTTGGTGTCGGTTGTTTCTATTTGTCGCTCTAGTGGGACTCTGGCACAAGGATCCCTCACCCAAGAACTTCGGCTCTCCTATATTGAAAACTATTCGAACAGACTCACGAGATTCCTCTGAAGAAGCGCTCGTGTCACAACTCGACGTCGTCGTTTTCCGTTGGTCTTTCAATTTCTGCTCGGAGGGCTTCGTGCACTTGTAGACCTTGTACGATACCGAGCTGGACACGGTGCCTGGGAAAAAATGAGGGCGCCATTTATTGCACATTTAAATGCCAAGTTCGCACCGTAAAGCCCTACTGGCGCAATCATAGAGCAAGTATATAAGAGTATCCAGGGGCATATTTTACTCTTGTTAAGACTCGGACACTTTGCAATATTCCGTGGCAACGAAAGTATGCTCGACGTTGGGCGATATCAGGCTTAGTACTGCAGTGTGAAATTGAAGTCTCATATTTTGTGAAGGACAGACTTCGTAGTGAATGTGCCACGTTAAAACGTCTCACACGGTTTTAAGATAAATGCTGAGAAAGTCAAATTTCACCATCAAATGTCAATTCAGTTTTTCTGGATTGGGTCAGAAAAGTAATCGCCAAGATACCACGCAATACCGGATGCGTACAAAACTGGTTGTTTATAAACAAGCGTATCTACCGATAGAGCTATCGTCGCTGTGCTGCGTATGCGCAGAAACCCGTAATTTTTTTAGGAGCGTAAAGCTTGCGTATGCTTCGTTTTATAATCAACGCCCTTACCTTGTAGTGACGTCAGGAACACGAGTCCGTGAATAGTTCAACCGCGCTATTCATTTATAGTAAACGTCTATACGGCAAACTGGTCCCAGTTGTCTATATCGAACTATCGTCTACCGCGAACGGTCGTCTAGAGAACTGTCATCTAGGGCGAAAGATTGTCTACTGTCATGGGCGTCCCCAGAACTTTACTCAAGAGGAGGCAAACCCTATATTTCGGGGCGGGGCATGCAATTTTATTTTGGACGGGAGAAACTACGAAACCGCGACTGGCCAAACGGATACTAGAATGTTTTACTAGGATCGGAATCCTTTCGATCGTATAAGAAGAACGCCAGGCTGGTCAAATTTGGCGGTGTTGGTTTTATGAGCTTCGAGCTTCCGCCGTACTTGTTGCACATACCATCGACAGTGGCGTAACAACTTGGTTTTGAGTGGGGGGGCAAACCAGACTTCCCCCTCCCTTCCCCCCCCCCCCCCCCCGGGCCGGGGGGCGGTGCCCTTGGGCGCCGCCGGCCAGTGTTTGCCCTGCTCGGTGGCGGCTGTTTCAGGGGGGGCAAAACACATACCCTACCTACCCTTCCCCCCCCCCCCCCCCCAACCCAAGTTGGTACGCCCATGACCATCGAACTTGTTGTTCATATTTGATAATCCCAGTCACGACGTCACAAGCAGTACCATAGCCTCCTCTATACTCACAAAGCCTGGCAGTTCGACGACGGAGCCATAGAGTGCCCGGTCGCAGATTTAGAGCGCGAGGATCTCGTAGCACAGAGCATCATAGAGCCATTTCTCGGGGATCCTGGACATCAGCGCATAGCTTTTGCAGTGGCGAGGACCCGAAACAAACTTGTTCGCTCGGGAGAAGTGTGTTTCGGCGTCTCGCCCCAGCGGGGCGCCAGTCACGTGGCCCTCCTCTCATCCGTTATCTGCCGCTCCACCTTTTCCATTTCGGCGGCCGCTTCTCGAGGCGATCTGCCAGGCTTTGTCAGTATATAGGAGGCTATGGTAGGAACCATGAAGTCGCACTCGCACTGCTCATACATGATACAGCCACGATGACCGAAGTATCAGTGGACACGCGTCAAGCATATCTTCGAAGCATGTTTGTTCCGCACATATATGTGTGCTTCGCACCTGACTGCAGACATTACTAGGCAGTCTGAATGGTGCTCCCATTCTTTACTTTTGCTGTTTAGCAAATATTTTTTTTTCTAATTTCAGTGTTCCTTCGAGTTGGAGGCAGGATCGCTCCTATCCATAAGTCGGGAACGGAGAGATCTGCCTCGAACTTCCGCCCCATTTCATTATTAAGCTCCTGCTCGAAAATCTTGGAGCATATTAGCTTTAAACACAATTCGAAGTTCCTTAAAACTATCTTTTTTTTCTTTCGAATAAGCACGGTTACCGGCGGGGATTACCAAGAGCAACGCAACTTGTTGAAACTATTCGTGACTTTTCGTGATCACTTAATTATAGATATAAGGTGGACGTTATATTTTTGGATTTCGCAAAAACGTTCGACAGAGTTCCTCACCGTAAGCTTCTAATCAAACTATCTTCAGTTTTACTAAAGAAAAAAATTAATGTTATGGCTTCGAAAATACATCAGCGACAGACGTCAATATGTTGAAGGAAATGACTGCATGTCATCGCAGACTCGGTGCTCTGTCCTTTACTTTTGTTTTTCATTTGTATTAACGACATTGCGCATAATATACCTACCTGTGACTATACGCTCTTTTGCTGACGGTATTATATTGGGTATTTTATGTAAACCGATGTAAGATCAATTGCGGATCAACACAGGGCTGGTTTCAATAAAGTGAATAAGTGGTGCGAGGAGTGGAAAATGTCCCCAAACTTCAACAAATGTGTATACATGCACGCGGGAAAAAAAACGACTTTCCTTTTTAAGTGCAATGTGCGCGATCATCCCATCCGCGCACAAGCGCGATCATAGCGCTTGTGCCGTCAGTTTGTACTTGACCTTCGCGCTATTTATTTCGAAAATGCATATCCAACTAGCCCACCTTAATATTTTAGTACATCCCCTTTCACTAGTTACCTGAAATAAATACTTCGGAGTCATTATCACAAACAATCTAGGACGGAACTCCCACATCACGCAACTCACATGCATTGCATTAAATAAACTTTAGTACTTAACAGTCTTGGGTAGTAACGCGTTACTGTAATTTCGTTACTTTTTTTGGTAACTTGTAACTGTAACGAGTTACTTTATTAAAATGTAACTTGTAATTGTAGTTCTATTACGTTTTTCTAAGGTAACGATGAAAGTAACGACGTTACTTTTGACGTTACTTTCCAGTGTTTTATAAATAATGTATCAATGAACGAGGGTACAATTTAGATATTCCTTGCAGTTTTCAAATCGTCTATTCCGACATTTCGAGTGTCAAGCTGGCCTTGCACAAACTTGTGCAAGGCCAGCTTGGGGGAGGGGGGGGGGGGGAGGCGGGGTGTTACGGACGTTTATGGCTACAACGAACTAACCTATACAGTAGGGCGTCTCCAAACCTTTTGGCTAAGAGGGGCTGGATTTGGGGACCTGTTGGAGTCTCGCGGTCCGGAAAATAGTTAAGACCGTAATATTAAACGAGGAAATACTAACTAAGTAATCCCCCCCATTATTAGAAAAACTTCCTATAAAGTGAAATTTCAAAAAATAAATGTAAGGTGGATGAATCCATCTACTTTATTCTGAAATGTGATACGGCACCACAAAATAATTGTACTCCAGAGAACTCACGGGAGGCAAATCAAAGCGCGTATAGAACTTCCGCATATTTACGCAGAGCGGCAGACTAAAGATAATGGTAGATCCGAATCTCGTGATGACAGTGTACAAGAGCTAGGACACCATAGTCACGGTATACATAAGAACGCAAAGAAATTTGATCATAGTCGCCCAGAAATGCTGATGATGACAATGTACCATAAATAATATGATGAAAAATCCCGCATTTTGGTAATTTTTTTTTCATTCTTTTTCTTTTTTTTTCTTTTTTTTTTTGCGCGTTTATTTTGTCGTTAGTAACAACAGGCCGTTCTGAACTATCGTCTGCAGCAAGAGTCTCCAAACGTTTTGGCTAAGGGATCGAATTGGGGACTTGTCGCGTTTTCGAAAACCAAAACAATTAATCACTAAAAGTAAATAAACAAAAACTAAATAAATAGACGTAGATAAGCATTTAAATGCAAAACAAAAACATTAGGATGGAGTAATAAAAAAACATATTCGAAGGCGGATAAAGGCGTCGTCGAGATAAATCCGGACTTCTTTCAGATATCGTCTCAAGTTCTCAACAGTATAGTGAGTTCTCCCTTCGTTTTCGTCCGTGTTTTTTTTTTTTGGCGTGTTACACCATAATACGGTGAAGCTAACCGGTCGTATTTCGCTTCTGCGGCCACCTGATTCGACAGTGGAACATCACGTAATAAACCATTCGCAACTGGATCAAAAATGAACAGGGAATACGACTGAAGGACAGCAATACCTGAATCGCCTCGCGCCGGAAAGTCGCCTAAGCAAATCATTGAGTGGCATGGCTACAGGAAGGCGCAAGTTTACAGCATTGCCAAGACGTTCGGATAATCGGTCAGTCGGGAAGACGTTACGGCAGGCCCAGCATAGCGCAGAAAACGGTCGATATTAATTTTATCTTTGCCTGTGTGTGCCAGGGATGGGCAGTATTTCAAATACAAGTATTTGAAATACGTATTTCAAATACTTTGTGTATTTTGTATTTGTAATTAATTACAAATTGGGTAATGTATTTGACGTGTGTATTTAAATACTAAAACGTGGGTATTTCAAATACAATTGTAAATAAATACAATTTTGTGGGCGAAAATACATCCCTCAAATTTATTGTCACTGTCCAGAGCAGGAAGAAAACTACGTTCTGCACCGAATGCAGTGTCTCTCAATCAAGCACAAGCGTTTAGTGACTTTGTAATTACGGTGCTAGTCCAGGGCAAGAATAGTGACGAAATCGACGTTCACAGGCAGACTGGCTAAATAAGTGCCTGTAACAACTTGTGATGCTTTCCAGCCTGATTTCCATCCATATTTTTGCCTGGAACATTCTATGCGCGGGTAAAAAAAAATAAAAAATAAAAAAAACAATAAAAAATTCTCTAGCTAGTGCTGCGCGTCTTGGTCGTCTCGGTTCTTTGTTGGTTTATACCAAAATGTAATCGAGCTGATTACATTTTTTGTGATTATATTTCTATTACGTTTCTAGAGCCTCGCACACTAACTCCCGAGTGTGCGATGCAAAATTAAAATGAGATACCCAGAAACCCGTCGCAGGTGCCCGAAGTCGCTGACGGAAATTTTGAGGAATGTATTTGGAAAAGTATTTGGAGGAGACCAAATACATTTGGTTGTATTTGTATCTTGTAATTAAATGTTTTTTTTGGAAATTAATTAGATTTGTAATTAAATACATTTTTGACGAAGTATTTTGTATTTGTATTTCGATACATATTTTCGTGTATTTTGCCCATCCCTGGTGTGTGCTTTTCTGAATATGGTGAATTTGCCGGATTTATCTCGACGACCCTACATATACTTCATTTCGAAATTCAATATTTGGATAATGATGACATTATACAATTATTGCAACCCAGTTCACAACACATAAATCAAATCGTATAGGAACTTTGGCATATTCACTCGGGTCAAAAGACCAATGAAAATGATAGAACCGATGATGACAATATTTACAATTATGACACATGATACGATACACGAGATAACGAAAGGAACGTTCACGTAGTTACACAAACATAAAACGGGGGGAAAGGATTGTATGGCTGGCGATGACAATGTGCAATTAATAATACTGCAACCCCCCCCCCCCCCCCCCCCCACACACACACACAAAAAAAAGGAGTTTTTTTTTCATTTTCGCTGCTATTTTATAGTGCGAGTTTGAAGCGCGTCGCGGCGCCATATTTTTATGCTCGCTTATTTTTGGGTCCGGCCCTCTGGAAGTTGGCCGGGGGTCACTAAAGACCAAGGCCAGTCGCGGGCCACTCAGAATGCCACTAAGGGTCGAATTTGGCCCGTGGGCAGGGGTTTGGAGACCCCTAAAACAATTGTCTGCAGAAAAAAAAAAAGAAAAAAGAAGAGAATTTTAACGACAACAAAATGCTTTGAATAAAAAAAAAGAAAAAAAAAAAGCGGCTCTTGTTAAGTACCTGTTTCAGTCTCCTTGACGGTGATGGCTTGAACAGTCTTGTATAGCTGCCTGGAGTCCTTGGGCCCAGCGAGCCAAGCATGTCGCAGAGCCTCGTCGGGAGATACTCGCGTTTCGGGATTCCACCTTGAAAACAAGAAAAACCATATTGATTTTGTATTTATTTTTATTTTTCATTTAATTATTTTTCTAATAAGCGCGGACGAGGAAACGTGGAATGCTCAAAAGAGTGGATCAGAGCATTCTACCAGCATCCACTTCAAATACAATAAATAAGAAACCAATACTAGAGAATATATATATATATATATATATATATATTGAACAAGCAGCATTGTTTCAACGCTGCAAGGTGATGTCGCGGTCATCAACGTAAATGCGATTGTCAATGTGGAGTCGAATAACGTTAACCATTTTGTTCTTAGCCCGAGACTGAGGCAGGAAAAGAGGAAAATGAAAGTAGAAGAAAAATTTAAGAAAAAGGAAAAGAGGAAAGTTTCAAAGTAGAAGGAAAGTAAAAGAAATATTTTTCTTCTACTTTGAAGCTTTCCTCTTTTCCTGCCTCAGTCTCGGGCTAAGAACAAAATGGTTAACATCCACCAGCTCGCCTGCGCACTCACTACTTTATCATCGAATAATGTGGTGACGCAAGCCTCTCAACTGTTTGATTTTGCAAATGTTTGTTGTCGAGAAGGCCCAAAAGCGGGGTCGAAACACTCAGGGTGAGCTTTCCTGCATCTCGCCTCGTGGTACGAAAATCATCAAATCATCGCACATCGACCGCCCATCGCTAGGCAAATGCTCGGTCAATCAGAAAATGCTCAGATAGTTTAGATTGGCCATTAAGTAACGAAGGGTTACACTCGGAAAGCCCGTGGCACCCCTCGGTGCTGTCTTTATGTCGGTCCCGAAACAAGGGTCATGCTCGGTGTTTGCCTGACTACAGGGGCCTATTCTGGCGCATGTTGGGCTACGGAGTTCGGCCATATCCTGGAAGGGGCTAGGAGAAGCAGACGACGCACCGGCGACTGCCCATCGTTGCGCTTCTTTGCCGGAGAAGGCGCTGACTATCGCCCGACTGCGGCGCCTCCTAGACATGTGCTCTGGGGCAATAGCGGTTGACCATTTATTGGACTGAAAATCATTGCAGGCGGCGGGCCAACCTAAAGCCCCGTCTAATGAAAAAAAAAAAAGAAAAACAGCTTGGCCATGCTTTCTGTTCTGCTCTGAATGGTATACATTGCCAGTCAAATAAATAACTTCGTGAGGCTCCAACTTATTTAGTGTTCCTTGTGTCGACTACTTCGCTGTGTTTGTAGGACTCCGGTAAAAAAAAAAAAAATATATATATATATATATTGTCTTTCCAAGCGGAGCCTTTTGGCACGTCACGACAGAAAAAGAAAGAAAGAAAGAAAGAAAGAAAGACAAAAAGGAGAAAGAGGGGAAAAGAGAGGAAAGAAATAGAGAGGGGAAAGAAATAGAGAGAGGAAAAAGAAAGAGAGTATGGGGAAAGAAAGAAAGAGAAAGAACGAAAGAAAGAAGACTGTGAAAGAAAAGAGAGATCGATAATAACAGGTGTAAGTGAAACTTACTCCAGGCAAAGTGAAAGAAAATCCACGAATTCCTCGTCGTTGCAGCCCAGAACGGCCGCTAACGTTTTCGAGTGCGGTTTTCTCTTCTTCCCTTTGCTGTTTGTCAATGTACGCGGGTTGTTCTTGGAATCTGGAAGAACGGGAAAGAAAATCGCGCAGCAGGTGAGTGCGATTAGTATGTTTTATTATTTTTATCAAATAGTCAGACGACCCAACGTGACATATTTTATAGCTGACCTTCTCAAAATAACCGACTGGTGCCAGAATTGGAAAATGTCTCTCAATACTAACAAATGTAAGTGCATGCGTTTTTCTAATTCCTTAGCAGAAACTAATCCTACGCTACTTTTGGATAGGACTATACTCGAATATACAGACCACTATAAATACCTCGGCGTGCATCTTTCACCTAACCTCTCTTGGAATACTCATATTAACAACATTGTACAATCTGCTAATCGAAGTTTAGGCTACATCCGTCGAAATTTTAGATCTGTCCCCAATAACCTTAAACGCCTCCTGTACGTTACTCTTGTCCGTCCCAAATTAGAATATGCGTCTTCAATTTGGCATCCTCATCAATCAACGCTAACTGATTTAATTGAATCTGTTCAGAGCCGTGCTGCACGCTTCGTTTTTTTCTGATTATTCCCGTTTTTCGAGTGTCTCGTTAATGAAAGCTCACCTTGACCTTCCGCTATTATCTTCACGTCGTAGGATCTCTCGCCTTTGTCTTCTTCACAAGGTATTTTATACGCCCATCTTTAAACAATCTCTCTTAAACCCCCCATCATACATCTCGGCTAGAATTGACCATCCTTGTAAGATCGCCCGCCCACAATGCTTCACCCTCGCACACCAGAAGGCGCTCTTACCATCTGCGATTGTGGACTGGAATGACCTCCCCGAGAACCTCATCGGCATCACCGACAGTGGAAGATTTCGGGACGCCATCACCAACTACTTCATGTAAACCCACTCCCCTCTGTAACGCCACTTGTGGCCCTGAGGGTATTATAAATAAATAAATAAATAAATAAATAAATAAATAAATAAATAAATAATAGCACAGACTGTTTCTGGCGGGTTTCATGAAAACTCCCCAGTAATATTAGGCCACATTCTATCAATATCAAAGCTACAAAAAGATAACATTTTTGGGGACATCCGCAAGGTTAGCGTACTTTGATGTTACGTTAAAAAGAGATCTCAGTTCGATGCAATCCAGAGAGAAAGGGTGACAGAGTTACGGCCCATAAATATTCTAGCGCTTGTTACGTGTAGCGACGATCACTGCGCCGCCGACAAACTAAAGGAAACGGCGGCATTATGGACGTTTGCAAGCAGCCACGCTTCGAGAGCTAGTCTGGACACCATGGATGAAAAACGCTTTGTTTGGCCGTCAGTCTGGAAACGGTGGGTACACCTCAGCAATGCTTTCTGTGGCAATGCAGTCAATGCTAGGGGAGAGGGTGCACCAACCGCTGTACACGCGCTTTCCTCCTCTCTTAGGATTGCCACAGAAAGCTGACTGTCAGACGATCTACCCACACCAGCAGCAAGATGGCGCCGCTCAGAGGCCGTGCTTTCAAACATCTCTATTGAATCAGCATCAGAATATAACTGGAAGACGTCACGTATTTCCCCAAGAATATGCTTCGTCATTCATGTTTGTTGCAACCACTCATGAAAGGCAGATTGCAGCATACAACATTCCAGCGCCAATCAGCCAGGCGAAAAAGGCTGAGTCACTGAGCTGCGAACGGGATTCGGGGTGTCGGATATTCCCAAAAGAGAGCTGCCGCGCGCGCTCAAAAGGTGTTTCACAGAACAGTAGACAAATATGGCAGCGCGCGGAAGACGATATTTATAATGGTCTATAACGTTTGCAAGGGGGCCTCTGGACGCCGCCATCTTGCTGCTGGCCTGTTTATATCGCCTGATAGCCAAGCCTCGCTAAGGGGTGCCTACGGTTGCCAGACTAGCTTTGAAGCGTGGCTTCTCGCAAACGCGTCCGTATAGGGACTTTAGCCGTACCGAAGAACAGGCGTCTTCTCGTGGCCAGTTCCATGACCGCAGGCGGAGGTGGGCCTAGCACCTCCATGATGCAGGCCAGCTGGTCGGCCTCGTTCTCCCCGGGAAAGAGGGGAAAGCCCGTGTAGAGCTCGGCCAGGATGCACCCTAGGCTCCACATATCGATGGAGGTGCCGTAAGGCAAGCCCAGAATCACCTGCATGATATAAGACAAAAGTTAGAAAAGGAAACGCTGACCTGGACAACTCCGACCTCCCTGTCTCACCCCTCGAGAAAAAAATTTGCTGCGACAACCAAGGCTTCGCACAGACAGCAAACTCTGGCTGCACACAGTTACACTGTCTTCTTTAAAGTTAGCGGACTAACGTTCGCTAAGTTTAATGGACAGTGTCCATGTGAACACTATGGTGTTTTAGTCGATTGCTGCAATAGCTCCGATAACGATACCCGATAAAAATACATGGCAAAGGCGACGGCAGAGTATCGCATATTGTTATCACAGTTATCGATCAACAATCTACTATAGCTCTCTACTATGACATCACGCTGCACAAAACAATCCTGCTAAAATTAACGAAAAAATTTCTCTTTGCATTTAGGAGTAAAAAAATTCCCGCTAAATATCGCGAAGTTTAGCGGAAAGCGTTTTCCGTGACGTCACGGCCCTACACGATACACATACGGCATCCGCTGCGACACCTAGCCAATAACGGCTAACGCTGTAAAAATGATGAAAGTAAAAGCTAATGCAAATCCAAACTCCCTGCCCCATTTCCTTTTGTATAAATTCGCCAAAGATATATGAACGTGCGCCCGTTAACAGTTTGACTTTTGAGGGGTGTTTCTCTTTACCAATTCAAAACGAGTATGCAAACGAATCGGTTAAGGACAGCCATTCTAATCCTGGAGCATGAGGAAGGGCAGGGCAAATACAAACACGAAGTGCCAAACAGAGTTAAGATTTGAGCTGTGTTTGGTGCTTCGTGTAGGTGTTCATGCTGTCTTTCCCCGCGCTCGACGGTTATTCTGTCTTTTTTTATACGTTTATTTTTTTTTATTGGGAACGGTCAAGCAGCTGCAGGCCTGAGTAACTCACCTCTGGAGATCGGTAAAACCTGGATTGGATGTACGTGTAGACCCTTTGGTGGACGAAGCAGGAGCTGCCGAAATCTATCACCTTGATGTTGCTGTTCCCCCGCTGCTTCAAGAGGATGTTCTCCTACGGAAACAGGTGGACAAGCGTCTGAGCTTCGGGTCGGCCCGAGTTGAACGCACTTCGAACTTGGGTCAGACACACCCGGTTCTGGCGGCTTCAGAACAGAGCTAGGTAGTCAAGACCGAAAACAACACTGATCGCCAGAATAACCGATCTGAAAAAACCTAGATCGGTTCAAGTGGGGATTGAGGTTCAAGATGAGCACGATGTCTAATATAGTATGTTTTTATGAAGATTCGTAAATCGTCTGCTTGAGTTCATTCAGCCTTGGCCGTGCACCATGTTCGCACGGGTACCGTCATAGACGCTACACTGAAAAGCGCCCCGAAACCCTACAAAAGTGATATCATATGACTTTTAACATTACCCAGAAGTTCATCCATGTCATCGAAATCGACCCCTGGAACGGAGCTTCCCGATAATCACATTTTCCTTCCGCCAGCTATGGGACGTCGTGACATTGCAAAGTTTGAGTAGATCGTACGCTGCGGAGAGAGGGCCAAGTGGACGCGTGCTCAATCTATACTTCGAAGTGACGGCACAAGTCTTGTGCCGTCACTTACCCTGCGCTAGAGCTTCGCTTTGCTATGAGGCTCATAGGAAAGCGAAGCTCTAGCGCACGGTTTACTAAAAGTCCCTATTAGCAGACTAACAGCCACGTTACACTTTTCGCGCTTCTTTGTATTCATCACAGTCGGGGCAAGAGCACAATAGAAGTCGGAGTATGCCTAAATAAGGAGAGTAATACCCCGATCACATGACCGACATAAAGGTACCTTTAACATATATATAGGTCCCTTTGCAATCGGCGAATCAGCCCGCGCTGATGGATCGCAACCACATGCCACGCTCGGAGGATCGCGAACTGATTCGCCGCTGTCCATAAAGGTCCCTTAGCTAAAGGGACCTTTATGATCGTGTGAATGGGGTATCAAACACGGACAGTTCGCCGCCCGCGCGACACTCTCTGTAAAGGCGCTACATACAAAACGAAGTGAACATCACCTTCTGCGTCTGCTTGAAAGTAGAAATTTCCTCACAGATACTCCAGAAATAGACGCACATCAGAGTACAAGAGGGCGATTACCACTGCGCTGCTAATACGACACTTACCGCGCTCGGGGAGCGTGCCCCAGATTATCAACGTACGAAGTCATGTTTTATATCTGAAAATTGGGATGCTTTTCGCTCGAAAGCGTCACCATAAAATGAAGTGCAACGAATCCTACATGCAAATGGATGACATCGACGCCACGTTTTCCCCCGCGCGCGCGCAGTCTCGCTAAAAAAAAGTCGTAGTGCAGCGAAGGCTACGCGCCCTAAAGTCACGCAAACCTCCACTTCACGTGCTGGTCCCTTGACTCCAAGGAGGGAGACCCCTCTTTCCCTCTTTACCCTCCTGGCAGACGACGCCATTTTTTAGTGCGGTCGTGTAACAGCTCCTAGATGACAAGGTCATAGTACTGATTTGTCAACGCCACCTAAAGAAGCAAACGCGGGTTACGGATTTGACACAATATCTGCGTCGGCGTTCGTTTGAGCCTTCCCTGCAGTCAGATACAAGTTAAAAATGAAAGAATGCGCCAGAAGCTCCGCCTCCAGCAAGCGCTCGATGCCTTCTGTCGTGCTTTGGGTTGGCGTGCTCATGAGACCCCTACGCGTTACCGAAGGTAGAAAGCTCGCGCTGGAGGCAGAGCTTCTGCAAAGACTCCTTAATTTGTACCCGACTAAGACTACACTATAAAAGAAGAAAGAACGCAAACACGTTGGCGGGCGTCTCTAATGTCACCAAGAGGTCTACTCTCGCGATAAACACGTGGAAGCTTCTCGCAATCGGTGGGTGACTCGCGAAAATAACTCTCAAACCCCAAGAGAAGGAAAGCTGCTCTTACCGGTTTCAGATCGCAGTGTATGATCTTCTCTCGATGAAGAAGGCGGAGACACTGGACAAGCGAATAAGCGAACCTCCGAATCAGGTTGAGGCTGAACCCTTGGTAGTTGTTCTTCTTGATCAGTTCGTACAAGTTCATCCTGAAAAGTGCAACGCAGTCATTGCCCATCTTTTTTTGCTATCTCTCTACCAAGCTGCTTTCAGTGTTCTAATGCAATTAACAACAAGCTTACACTTGCACGGTGAAAAAAAAAGAAAAAGAAACATGCCCACAATTTTATTTGAAATGTATACGTTGCTGATTGTCTTTGAGTTATTTTAGGCCAATGTCTTTTTTCTGTACAGTGCTTGCTTCTTTTTTTCTTCACGTGCTTTTGTTACAATGTGGCTCCCTTTAAACTGCTTTTTTTTTCCTTCGGACACACGACTAGTAGTAAACTGTGCGCTTCTTTTGTTATCCCGAAGCAATACTGTTAGAACTAAAAGAGATTGAGATAGAGAGAAATCAAGAGAGAGAAAGAAACTGGAAGGTAGGGAGAGAGAGAACGAAACTCGATCCTCAGAAATGGCAAGAAGATATACAAAGGAACCCTATAACACTCCAGAGCCCAACTGGGAACGGCGAGACCAGTCAACCACCAATTGGGAATGGCTATGGCCAGTGACTCCACTGGTCCCAGTTGACCACTCAACTGGTCCTAGTTGGCCCCTCAGCTGGTCCCAGGTCAACTCTTGTTGGGTCCCCATGGATTCCCAGTTGGAACTAGATGATTCTCATTTGGAACCAGGTGATTTTCAGTAGGAACTAGTTAATTACCAATTGGGACCATTTGAGATTCCGTCTGGTCCCAGACCAGTTAGAAATTTTCACCTAGGGGTTCCTATTCAAGCAAGTGCATATACACAAAGATGACGATGGTTAGCGGCAATTTCTCACCCCATAAGCTCGAACGTGATGCACAGGTGATTCCTGAAGTAGAAGTACTCGAACATGTGAATCACATTGTGGTACTGGTCTTGGTCCTTTTTTGTCAAGTGGTCCAGTATCTTCACTTCTATCAATGCTTGTTGGTGAAACCTAAAGAGAGCAGAAACACACCGTCCAAAGCAAGCTTTTAAAACTAAGTGTTTAGAACACAGGGGATTTATAGTTTGTCTCCATTATACTGCGGTCTAAACCCTTCCCTAACAATTTCGACCCGTATTGCTTTAGTTGGGGGAAACACCAGGCAATAAAAACTATGCAACTACCCGACACATTTTATTCTATTATGTTCCCCCGCAGAAAAGCCGCCGGAAGTTCAACTGCCCTGCTACAATTTGATAGAGCTTAGGGGATGCTCGGTAAAAATTTTCGTGCTTTGTGGCGTTATTTATATGCTTGTTATCTAAATGCTGCTCCTGTACACTGCATTTAAGAAATCCGAGATACAGCAGAATCTGTAATACGCAACGCAGATACAACTTACAATTTTGTTTGCGAAGTGTGTCTTAAAAGTATTTAAAATACAAAGTCATTAAATGCAATATGTTTTTTTTACAATGTACACTAAATGCAATGCATTTTCAATAAAATGTATCTTAAATGCAACATATTTCGTGCGCTCCATAATCTAAATTAAATATATCTAGTATGTGAGGTCCCGGGGTCGGGCGTGGACCGTGAGCGGCTTGACGCGAAGGGGCGAGGCGACTTATAAAACAGAAGTTACTTTAATAAGACGAAATATAATAGAAGGTGCGTACGATGCACGCAACACACAGGGTCCCTGCCTAGACTAGGGAGACCACCTTCCTGCTAGCGAAATGAAGAACACGCGGGGCAACCGGGGGGGGGGGGGGGGGGGTGGAGTAGAGGAAATTTGTTAACACTCACACCACGAACCGAGGCTCTGTAAAAACAGATTTAATACCCCGTGCTGTTTATACCCCTGCAAATTGTATATCACCAATTAAGTTCAAATAATTTTCACTCCCAGGGTTATATTTTTAATGCTAAATTTGCTATTACATGTCTCGAAGTTGAAAGCATAAAAATCGACTGCAGTAGAACTCGATGCATCAATTGCATATAAGAAACAGCAAATCTTTTTCGGGTTATTATTTTCTGTCAACGCTTACTTTTATCAACATGGTCATACACAAATTTTTAACATTATGTTATTTTCGACCTTTCTGACTTGCAGGCTTTTTGCCTTGTGTGGCTGTCTTCACTAAAAATAAATTCCAGAACAACCCTTTCGTATTGACACAGCGATATGAAAATAATTACAATAATTTATATTTAAACTTTTGGCGAGCAATTCTCTCATACAAAATTTTGCCACCAAGGGGAGAGGCACAACGGCGCTTACGCGTCGGGTCTCCTGCAAGAACGACGGTCCCTTCCCGCAATGCTTGTATAGAAGATGGCGTACCGTTGCGATTAACACGATTACCAGCAACCTCCGCGCTTTCCCATGCCCCGTTGTTCGGCAGACCCATGAGTTGCAGAGTGAATTTTATGACAGTGTGAAATGCGGGACATTTTGAAGATTCAGGAATTTCTCGCGGGACGCGGGACACGAGCCCTCAATGCGGGACAGCTCCGCGAGTCGCGGGACGGGTGGTTACCCTAGCCTTAAAGGACACATGCAAAGAAAAAAAAAATTTTTAGACTGCTTAGATGGAAAAAGGATGTCATAAAACGATTTTACAACGAAGAAAAAATTTTTCCAGCAGTTCCAGCAAAATGGAATTCTTTTTTTTTGTGGGGGGGGGGGGGGGGGGGGGGCATGAGGCCCGCCCCCGCCCCCCCCCCCCCCCCCCCCCCCCCACTGGCTACGTGCCTGAATGTATCTAAATTCTGCACAACCCAGCTAACTGGAAACCCCCTGTAAACTTTGTATGTCAAACGTCGCGCCACGCACCAGAACTACCGATAGCGACGCACAGATGGCGGGAGCACCGCGTACGGCGCAGGTTGCCGCGTTGTCACCGACAACGCTGCCTTAGGCTAGATAAGCCGTTAGGCCTTTTTGCCTGCTAACGAGCTTCCTCAAATTCTTTCAACGCTCCAGGACAGAGTAATTACACGAAGTTTCAAACCGGCAGACTATTTTTAGTAAGCGTAACTAGAATAAAGCTTGTTTGCGGGGTTTATTTATTTTCCCTTGCTCAGAGAATAACTTTGCTTTGGAACTATTTATTCTAGGCACGTGGAAATAACCCAGAACGGTTGTACATTTTCATGGGAGGAAGAAGCACTCGAAAAAAGAAAAGCGAGTGGACGTGAGTGAGGAGCACATTAAAATGAGCCCAGTTTTCCAGTTGTCAGGATGGCCGAGTGGTCTAAGGCGCCAGACTCAAGGTAGCTTCGTGCCTTGCCCTGATGTCAGGGTTTGGGATTTCTGGTCCACGAATGTGGGCGTGGGTTCGAATCCCACTTCTGACAAAAGTTTTGTTGACTATTTTCGGTTTTTTTTTTTGCCTTGAATTGTGACTGCTTGCTCGCGATTTAATAGGATACTCATGTCGATTCTTTACATGACTCGTAGATTTTTAGATCGTCCAAAAACTACGCAGTTTAACGGTCTATTTTCCAGTTAATCTACCAATTTATTTCTCCAGCTCTTTTTTTTTTTTTTTTTGTATGTTTTTTAATATGTGAATCATGGTTTGTCTCGTCAGGAAGAGGGAGGAGGAAGGGTCTAGAAAATTTTTATGCCGAACAGTGAAGACGCCGATTATTCGAGACTGATTGGCTGAGTCAGGTGATGACGTCAGACCTCCTAGATCGACGCTGATTGGCTGGTTCAGGTTCTGGAAGAGCGGCAGTGCCTTAAAACCCGGATTAGCGCCGCCATCTCCATTCCAAGAATTGTTATCGAGTGTGCACGTGCCACGCGTTAAGCCAGTCCCTAAACTAACCGACGAAGAGCGCCGAGAGCAGGAATCTAACTGAAACAACACGTTTCGCGTGCAACATAATTGCCCAGACATGTGCTGTTCTTTCCAGCAAGTTCATTATTTTTCTTTCGAGCTAGTTAATTACTTTTTCTAGCTAGTTCCTTTATTGTTTTTCCCAGCTAGTTCATTTATTTTATTTTTTTTCAGCTGGTTCATACTTTTTACCTAGTTTAATTTTCCAGCTAGTTGATTTTTAGTTATATTTTCATATGCCGGTTTTTTCCAGCTAGTTTTTTCCCGCTGATTTATATTTACACCTAGTTTATTTTACCATCAAGTTTATTTTACCATCAAGTTCATTTTACCATCAAGTTCATTTTACTATCAAGTTCATTTTACCATAAAGTTCATTTTACCATAAAGTTCATTTTAACATGAAGTTCATTTTAACATGAAGTTCATTTTAACATGAAGTTCATTTTAACATGAAGGTCATTTCACCATAAAGTTCATTTCACCATAAAGTTAATTTGACCAACAAGTTAATTTGACCAACAAGTTCATTTGAACAACAAGTTCATTTGACCAACAAGTTCATTTGACCAACAAGTTCATTTGACCAACAAGTTCATTTGACCAACAAGTTCATTTTACCAACAAGTTCATTTTACCAACAAGTTCATTTTACCAACAAGTTCATTTTACCAACAAGTTCATTTTACCAACGAGTTCATTTTACCAACGAGTTCATTTTACCAACGAGTTCATTTTACCAACGAGTTCATTTTACCAACGAGTTCATTTTACCAACGAGTTCATTTTACCAACGAGTTCATTTTACCAACGAGTTCATTTTACCAACGAGTTCATTTTACCAACGAGTTCATTTTACCAACGAGTTCATTTTACCAACGAGTTCATTTTACCAACGAGTTCATTTTACCAACGAGTTCATTTTACCAAGTTCATTTTACCAACGAGTTCATTTTACCATCAAGTTCATATTTTCGGAAAGTTCAGTTTTCCAGCTAGTACATTTTTCCAGCTAGTACATTTTTCCAGCTTGTTCATTTTCACATCTAGTTCATTTTCCTATCTAGTTCATTTTCCCATCTAGTTCATTTTTCAATCTAGTTCATATTCCCATCTAGTTCGTATTCCCATCTAGTTCATATTCCCATCTAGTTCATATTCCCATCTAGTTCATATTTACAGCAAGTTCCTTTTACCAGCAAGTTTATTTTCTTACCAAGTTCATTTATTCAAGCAAGATAACTTTTCCAGCAACTTCAACTTCAACTCAATAAGTTCATTTTACCAATAAGTTCATTTTACCAATAAGTTCATTTTACCAATAAGTTCATTTTACCAATAAGTTCATTTTACCAACAACTTCATTTTACCAACAACTTCATTTTACCAACAACTTCATTTTACCATCGAGTTATATTTCCAGAAAATTCAGTTTTACAGCTAATACATTTTCCCAGCTAGTAGATTTCTACAGCTACTACATTTTTCCAGTTAGTACATTTTTCCAGCTAGTACATTTTCCCAGCTAGTACATTTTTCCCGCTAGTACATTTTTCCAGCTAATCATTTTTCCAGCTAGTTCATTTTCCCATCTAGTTTATATTTTCAGCCAATTCCTTTTACCAGCAAGTTCCTTTTAACAGCTAGTTTATTTTCTTACCAAGTTAATTTATTCAAGCAAGATAACTATTCCAGCAACTTCAACTTTCCAACTAGTTCATTTTTTCAACTGGTTCTTATTCCCAGCTAGTTCATTTTCCTATCTAGTTCATTTTACCATCAAGTTCATTTGAATATGAAGTTCATTTGACCACAAAGTTCATTTGACCACAAAGTTCATTTTACCAATAAGTTCATTTTACCAACAACTTCATTTTACCAACAAGTTCATTTTGCCCACAAGTTCATTTTTCCATCGAGTTCATATTTCTAGCAAGTTCAGTTTTACAGCTAGAACATTTTTCCAGCTAGTACATTTTTCCAGCTGGTAAATTTTTCCAGCTAGTTCATTTTCCCATCCAGTTTATATTTTCACCAAGTTCCTTTTACCAGCTAGTTTATTTTCTTACCAAGTTCATTTATTCAAGCAAGATAACTATTCTAGTAAATTCAACATTCCAGCTAGTTCATTTTTTCAACTGGTTCATTTTACCAGCTAGTTGATATTCCTATCTAGTTCATATTTCCAGCAAGTTCTTTTTACCAGCAAGTTCCTTTTACCAGCAAGTTCCTTTTACCAGCTAGTTTATTTTCTTACCAAGTTAATTTATTCAAGCAAAATAACTTTTCCAGTAGCTTCAACTTTCCAGCTAGTTCATTTTTTCAACTCGTTCATTTTCCCAGCTAGTTCATTTTTTCAACTCGTTCATTTTCCCAGCTAGTTCATTTTCCTATCTAGTTCATTTTACCATCAAGTTCATTTTAACATGAAGTTCATTTGACCACAAAGTTCATTTTACCAATAAGTGCATTTTACCAACAACTTCATTTTAACAAGTTTATTTTCCCATCGAGTTCATATTTCCAGCAAGTTCATTCGAACATGAAGTTCATTTGACCACAAAGTTAATTTTACCAATAACTTCATTTTGCCAACAACTTCATTTTACCAACAACTTCATTTTACCAACAACTTCATTTTACCAACAAGTTTATTTTCCCATCGAGTTCATATTTCCAGCAAGTTCAGTTTTACAGCTAGTACATTTTTCCAGCTAGTACTTTTTTCCAGCTGGTACATTTTTCCAGCTAGTACATTCTACCAGCTAGTACATTTTTCCAGCTAATTAATTTTTCCAGCTAGTTCATTTTACCATCTAGTTCATATTTTCAGCAAGTTCCTTTTACCAGAAAGTCAATTTTTCCAGCTAATTAACTTTTCCACCCAATTAATATTTCCAGCAAGTTCATTTTTCCATCTAGTTCATTTTTCTAGCTAGTTCATTTCCCCAGCTAGTTTATTTTCCCCTCTAGTTCACATTTTCAGAGGGTTCTTTTTTCAGCGAGTTAATTTTCCTATCTAGTTTATATTTCCAGCAAGTTCATTTTTCATCTAGTTAGTTTTTCTAGCCAGTTTGTTTTTAAACTCAGTTCATCTTTCCAGCTAGTTCATCTTTCCAGCTAGCTCATATTTCCAGTTCGTTTTCCCATCTAGTTCATATTTCCACCAAGTTAATTTTTCCAGCTAGTTCATTTTCCCAACAATTCATTTTTCAAACAAGATAACTTTTCCAGCAAGTATATTTTTCATTCTAGTTAATTTTCCAGCTAGTTCATTTTCCCATCTAGTTCATATTTCCAGCAAGCTTATTTTCTCATCTAGTTCATATCTCCAGCAAATTCAGTTTTTTCAGCTAGTTAATTTTCCCAGCTAGTTAATTTTTCATCTAGTTCATATTTACAGCAAGTTCATTTTCCCAGCTAGTTCATTTTCCCAACAAGTTCATTTTTTAAGCAAGCTTACTTTTCCAGCAAGTTTATTTTTCAGCTAGTTAGTCTTCCCGACTCGTTAATATTTTCACCAAATCATTTTTTCAGCTAGATCATTTTTTTATCTAGTTCATTTTTCGAGCAAGTTCTTATTTTTGTCTAGTTCGTTTTTTAGCTAGTTAAATTTTCCAGCTAGTTCATTTCCCTAGCTAGTCTATTTTTCCATCTATACTCCGTCTCATTAAAACCGTGCACAAAAGCCAAAGCTACAGGGGAAACAGTGTGTCCCGACCTATTCAAGAGGAGGGAAAGGAGGAACGGCAAGATCCCAGCCTTCTCCCGTTCTTCCTTTCCCTCCCTTTGAACAGGTTTGTATACGCTATCTCCCCGGTAGCTTTGGCTGTATTGCATGGTTTTAGAGAAACTGAGTGTAGTTCATATTTCCAGCAAGTTCAATTTTACATGTACTGTAATTTATTTTCCCAACAAGTTCCTTTTTTAATCAAGATAACCTTCCAACAAGTTCATTTTCCCATCTAGTTCATTTTTCCATATAGTTAATTTTACAGCGAGTTCATCTTCCCATCTAGTTCATATTATCAGCAAGCTCACTTTTCCAGCTAGTTCATTGATCCAGCTGGTCCATTTTCTCATCTAGTTCATATCTCCAGCAAGTGCATTTTTCCAGCTAGTTCATTTTCTCAACAAGTTCATTTTTCAAGCAAGATAACCTTTCCAGCAAGTTCATTTTTCCGGCTAGTTCATTTTTCCAGCTAGTTCATTTTCTCCTATATTTTATATTTCCAGCAAGTTCTTTTTTTTGGCTAGTTCATTTTCACAAGATCATTTTTCAAGAAAAATAACTTTTCCAGCACGTTCATTTTTCTATCTTGTTTATTTTCCCACGAGGCTGATATCTCTAGGAAGTTAACTTTTCCAGCAAGTCAATTTTATCACCTAGAATTCGTTCTCATAGCTAGTTCATTTTTCGAGATAGTTCATTCTCCCATCTGGTTTATGTTCCCAGCAAGTTCATTTTTCCAGCTAATTGATTTTCCCAACAAGTCCATTTTTCAAGCAAGATAGCTTTTCCAGCAAGTTCATTTTCCCACATAGTTCATTTTTCCACCTTGTTCATTTTTCCAGCGAGCTCATTTTTCTCTCTAGTTCATATCTCCATCAAGTTCATTTTTACAGATAGTTCATTTTCCCGTTTAATCACTGTCGCGCTTTACAAGAATTTGCATTTCATAAGATCATCCTTTTCCCGAGTTGAGAGATGAGACATTCTCCGCCTCTTGGTGATTTCCTCAGTTTTGGGTTGTTTTAAAATGTTTATTAATTTGTTAATATAGTCACCCCCAGCTTAAGAAACGAAGGGCGTGGCGAGTCCGAGCATCTCATTATCTCTCCGCAACCAATCAGATTGCGGGATTAGGTGATGAGAACATCGAAGAACCAATCACAAAGGCAGAAGCGTGGACATTTAAAGTTGATCTTACGTCCCGAAACCCCTAGACAGCGACTCGTTCTCTTCCTAGCAAACTTTCTTATTGGATATCGCGTCCTTACTTAGTAGGTTACCTTGATGGCTCGCAAGATTATCCCAACTCTTCGCCCAATCAAGAAGCGACGGGCCTCTCTTTTTCGATGAACGGGACTGATTACAAAGTGGAGAATCATCTCGGTATGAATCACGAAGGAACCTAGTCAGCTTTGCGGAAGTTACTGACTTTGTTACCTTAGAAAGTAATCGATTACCAGTTTCATCACTGAAACTAATCAGGTATTTAAAGAAATAGTAAGCACTAAAATAGTCCGATTAATGGTTAGTACCATCTCAGTGGGTTTCAGTCCCGCTGTTGTAACCTATACATGACACCAATACGTTCAACGTCTGTGAGGTGCCTTACACCTTGCATTGCATGGCTTAGACCCATTGGGCGAACAAACAATCACTACGTCTCGGCGACAGAACAAAAATAGTTTTTTTGGGACGCTTAAACGTATTGTTTCTCCCGCTTGTTTCAGGTCTTCAGTCTGGAGTAAAATTGAAAAATTTAGAGAGCGGGGAAGAAGGGGGGGGGGGGGGGGGGGGCTATTGGGCATCGCTATAGAGTCAGTACATAGGTTTCCAGAACACTGAAACTCCCAAGCTTTGTTTCGGTACGACGCCGCGGCACTGAAATTCATCTATATATGTTCACCACCTTGGGGTCTCGCATAGTATACACTGTATAGTTTGGAGCATAACTGTATACTTCTGCGCCGTTGGCATTCTCAACAGCTCAGATAAGTGTGTGGCATTGTGGATAACCTCCTTAATACACCATTTACATAATTTACATTGCAGCTTATTCATTCACCAGTATTATCCTAATCAGATCATCATCGTCATAGCTAATAAATGTTCCTATAACTCGCTTGTCTATACTTAGTTTCAGCTTAAGTCCAGACGCAGCCGACCCTACAAGGTAATGGCACCGATCAAGCATCGCTAAAAGCGCTGGCCACTGGGCCTTTTCTGCTTATGATTGGTTCAGCGATGATAGATCATGTACAGAAACATGACGAACACCAGGATAGTCCGCGTGTGACGTTGTCCGATTGCTCCCATCAGCTCGTAGCATATAGCCGAATCCGCGCTCAAAACGACGCCCATGCGGCGCCGATGCTGCGCCGAGTTGTCGGTTTAGCAGCGATGCATCGGCGCTCTATCACCCACTGTGTAATTGCACCCGAAAAATGATATGAACCCCAGCGCCGATTCGGCGCTATATGTGCGAACCGGCCTTGAAAGTCGCAGACGATAAGGTACGCGGCGCGTGCGCTGCACGCGGAGTTGTGCCTCACCGCTTCTTGTTGCGTATGATCTTGAGTGCCACGTGCTGGTTGGTCTTGTGATCCAACGCCCTGATGACTTGACCGAAGGAACCCTTGCCGATCACCTCGAGGATCTCGTACCGGTACGCGATGTGGTCGTGGAGGACCTGCCAAGACACGTGATGGAACGGTTCAGGGCACAATAGACCTATTGCTAATGTACCCAAGCATCAAGGATAATTCTGGGAATGTAGGCCGACGCGCAGCATGTGCTTGCCTTCCCAGTATAAAAGATTCGAAGTAAATGACCAAAAATAAGGAGTTGACGAACGCACGTGCAAGATGCCGTATGTTTGAGGCTTTTGCTTTAGAACAGTTACTAGTACAGACGCTAGCACGTGCGGCGCGTAGACGTATATACATTCCCGGTATTCCCTTTTGTTCCTTGGGTAATTTAGCAATAGGTCTATTGACAGTCATACAGGCACATCCTGTGGTGTGGCGTGTGTGACTGTGTGTACGTGTGTGTGTGTGTGTGTGTGTGCGTGTGTGTGTGTGTGTGTGTGTGTGTGCGTGTGCATGTGTGTGCGTGTGTTTGTGAGCGTGCGTACCTTGATGTAGGAGCCGTTCTCGTCGTCGTACCCGCCGTTCTGGCCGGCCACTTCGTCGGCATCGATTTTGCTCGCCTCCAGGCCGAGGTACCAAACCTCGCGGTACTGAAGAACTTCGCTCCTCTCAAAGCCGTTCAGACGGGCACCGTAGTACTTGAGAACCTCTGAGGGGCACGGGACAACGAAGGGATGTCAGTCATTCCGCGCCTTGAGGGACACGTACACAGGGTGTGCTTATTTACACAGTTCCGTCTACCGCTTTGTTGTTACGACATGTCTGAAGCGTGCCGAAGGGGAAAGTTCCCATGAATCATTTGACACCACCAGGTAGCTAGTACGGCCCAGAAAAGCTTATACGTTCAATCGCAATGACATCTAATTAAATGTCGGACTGGAGTCACGCATTATAGAGCGGTGCTTCCCAAACTCTGCTACCCTGCGACCGATCAAGAATACAAAACATTCTGTCCAAGCCTGTGAAAAGACTCCTCTGCCTCCGTGCAACGTCATCGCACTCGAATGGCGTCAACTCAGCAATTGGGCTCGACGCCAAGCGTCCTTGGACCCAATAATTGGACACGAGGCCCAGCTGACAGCGCTCGCGTCCAATCAGTGTCTGCGTTCCATCTCCCTGTGATGACGTCAAAAATGCTACTGCACGCCTTCTTTGATTGTTTTAGGTGTCTGTCGAGTTCCAGACGCACCGGCAGGCGACAGGGGTAGCCTCCTGCCATAGGGATCCGTTGGAGGTCCGCTTCCGTTGCTCGTCGCAGAGGCAGGCGTCGTGGCAGGGCTGTGGCCGTTGCCCTGCGGTGAGGGAGCGCCCAGTCGCCTCCGGGCTTCGGACGTCGCCAGGGACCCCGTGGTCAGGGACTCTACTGTCCTCAGGTCAGACACGCTGCGATGCCCGCTGGTGCCGTTCACGGCGCAGCTCAGGCTTCGACAGATTCCGCTATAACGGGGTAAAAAGTGCGCAAGCGGAGTACGTACAGTTACACTGCACACGTTTACACGTGCGTGAGTCAGGTACAGAGCCAATAAGCGACAAAATACTGTAAAGTTCCCAACGAACGCCCCCCCGCCCCTCAACCCCGTAAAAGATAGCCCACTGCATACAAAATAAGTCTGATCTCATGCTTAATATGTAAGTATTTAGATCCTATCTGGCTCCATATATGACAGGATATGTACGAGATCCTGGCCACCAGATCTGATCTGACGTTAGATCTGATAGAATATGAATTCTATCTGACTCCATATACCAATATGAGAGTTTTCTGATCCGATCGGATGCCATCGGGTCTGAATACAACTAAAATCCCAACCAGCCGGATTCTCAAGATCTGACGGATATGGATCCGATTTGGCACCAGATCTGATGGTACTCTGATTCGATCGGATCCCATCACATCTGGCTGCGTATCTGATTGGATCCGGATACGTCTCAGATCCGCCCCGGCCGGATCATCGAAGGGACACTGCGGCGAGTGTAGGGGGGTCTAGAGGCGCGCTTACTTTGCGACGGCGAGCACGGGGGGCAGCGTGGGTTCCGCGCCGCACGACGACGGTTGCTGCGACGCCGGCGCAGTGGCGGACGCCCCGGTGACGGCAGCGGCCGGCGACAGCGCGGCCGGGTGGGGAAACAGGGTGCGGGCGCCAGAGCCCAGCTTGGCCGGCAGCATGCTCACGCGCTGCACGGCGATGCTCGGCAGCGACGTGGACTTGTCCCACAGGGCGCCCACCGTGGTGCTGCTGCTGCCGCCACCACCGCTGCAGCCTGCAATAAACCGTGAGAAAAACAAAACAAAAACATACTTTGAGGTTGGGTACAAGCAAGGGTCTGGTACATTACGTTAGTTCGGGATGAATGCACATCTTCTATGGAAACAATCAAATTTTAATGGCTGCTATAATTCCGGCTCTGTTACATCTTCAGAAATATTAGGTTGCTTGTAGCAAATATTTAAGATACAAAAAATGTCCACAAGACGCGCAATGAAAGATAGTATACGGTGGGTCGAGGAATAATGTTCCTGGGCTTCTAAGTAGTATTAAAGGTGCCTGAGAAAAATTTTTGAGATCGCCTAAATATGGCGGTAAGTCACTGTGCTGGCTCTAAGTATTCTAGAAATCCATAAATCATGACGATACGTCACCGATCTTCCTACAAAAAAAAAAAAAAAAAAAAAGTCAAAGATCGCAACACACCGAGATCATCTCCAGCGATGGGAGGACCATGCATGTACCGAAACCAGGACCAAGCGAAGGATCCTCGCGTTTACAACCGGTGGAACCGGGGAGTGATCTCTCGAATCCGCGCGGCTCGTAGCCCATACAGCCCGGACTACGATTCAACCCAGCGAACGGCGCGCTCGAGAGCTGACAACCGACGATACCACTCGAATAAAAAAAAAGAAAAAAAAAAAGTGCGTTTTTTTTGTTTTTTTTTTTTACGTTTATTGCGGTATTATGTTCCCTCTCCGCGAAAAACTTAATGTGTTTCGACTACTCTTATTTTCTTTTATTTTCTACAAAAGAATATCCATTTTGTAATACCATCCGTTTGCAATCTCAACGAAATGTCGCGTTTTCATTGGTCACATATCGTCCTGGCTACCGGAACAATGCTCCTACAATCGCCTGAGACGGCCTCGGTGTGTTCGAATCCTTGATTGCTTTTTTAATAAGAAAATCGGCCGCGCATCCTTGTGATTTATGGATTTCTAGGATGCCTAGAGCCCGCAGATGAGTTATCGCCATATTTAGGCGATCTCAAAAAACTCCTCAGGGCACCTTTCATTGGTAGCGTACTAATGCTATATGTATAATTATTCCGGAGAAAATAAGAATGCCTGCAGTTTTTCGGGTGGTATAAGTTTTTCACAACGTATTGGGGCTGAGAGACGAATATCCAAGAACTTTGGAAATGCGCATCGTGTCAATGCATGCGTACGTCTCAGGTGCAATACATTCGTGGCGTCCTTTTCAGCGTAACCTGGAAAACGGCAGAAACCTACGGCCCTAGTGAGCCAATAAGAACGCCGGTCGAGTGACTTCACAGCGTCCCATAAGAGTTCCCTCTGACGGTGCGTTATGACGAGGCTTGCTACGACTCTCTTATTGGTTAACATGGCATCCAGCCTCCACTGTTTTCCGAGTTGCGTCGTCGCAGCGTTTTCGCCATATGGGAAATTGCATCGTCGTCATCGCATAGAGCGGCTCCACAGGTTACAGGTACAAGCCACTTGCATTTCTACGGTGCGTCTGCTGTCCCGGCTTGACTGAAGACTGCACTGTCAAGGACGAGCCAGTAGAGCGGAAACTCCCATCCGGTGTTCATATTCTTTCGTACTCAAGAAAGTACAGGCACAGAAGGGAGACAAGAATAGCACTTTTACTGCTTGCGCTCGTTTCTTCCTTCTTGCGTTTTTTGTTTTTTTTTTCGTTTTTTGAGGTTTAAGTGTCCATTAAACAACTGACCTCCTTTCTGGTCTATAGCTGCTGTTTTTGCCTATTCAAATGCAACTGGGGTATGATCTTTCGTGCCGTACTCATAAACCTGCTTTGATTCTAAGCCTCGTTTTATACTGTACGACGCATAAAAAAGGCAACGTATCGCCCGGAGCAGAACTTCCCATTTTGATCCCATGAGCTGTGACATAAAAAAATAGCGTTAAACGTTGAAAAACAATTAATTTTAAATCCCCCGCGATTCTTGGTGTGCTACATAAGGTATAGATCTATTACAGTACGCGAATGAGTCATCATGGAAAGCTAATGGGTCATCAGTATTAGCTAGTCATTAGCGCTTCGTGAGCTAGATGACTCTCAGATTTGCCAACAAGTGAATTTTGAAACGCGTTTCGACGAACCCACGTGAACGCGAGTAAAAACTAGTCTCGTAAACATGATGCGTCCTACGCACCACCGATTCTTTTTTTTGTTTCGAAGTTAGAAGGGTGGTATACCTGGTCCTCCGGAGCTGCCGGTGAAGGCACCAGGACCGACGCTGCATCCTCCGCCGCTGGCCCGGGACAGGCGTTGGGAGATGGCTGCGGACAGTGCCGGCCTCGTGGCTGGCTGGCTCAGGTGCTGATGGGACGCCTGGTGACGGGACGGCTGGAGGTGCAGCTGGGAGGCCAGGGCGCATCCCAGCCGGGTGCCCAGGTCACTCATGGTGTTAGGACTCTGCAGAAAGAACCAAAGGAGATTACTACCGTACTGGAAAAAAATGCCTGATCGTTTCGTGCAGTTAATGAAAGGGGCAAGGTGTGCCATAGTGGGAATGGTGAAAACTTCAAGAAAAACTGGAGCATGAGAAAGGTACATAGGACAAGGACAAATGCGAAGATCTAGAGCACGGTAAAGGTCTGGAAGTTTCAGCCCCGTGCACCCCGTCGTTCTCATGAAAATCACTTCACTTTAGTAACCAGTCTTGGACAACGAACGTCGTGGAAGCCCTTAAAAAGGTTCAGCCATTTGTGTTGGGTGGGATCGACTGTCTTACGGCCACTTATGACTGCTTACGACGAGATGGTTGCTATGGAAACTGAGGTCCGCGTAACTAGGAGTCATAACGCTGTCGGCCCCACTCAGAAGCAGATGTCTGAACCAGCCTTGGGAATAGCAGGTGGCGTTTTCCTAGCAGTCTCAGATTGTTCGGGTCTGAGCAAGTCTCTTTGGGAACCATCGGCTGATACTAGGAGACTTTCAGGAGGTTTTTTTCCGAGTTCTTCCTTTCGTGCTTGGGCTACCCTATAATATTATTTATCTAGTTAGTTGTACTACGAAACCCAGATGAGTGGATGTCTAATTATTCAATGCCGGGATGCTCGAAGACAAAACCGTTCCTAGTATTTCTGACGGACCAGCGAGCCTTTTATCGGTTCCCCGAGACACTGGGTTGTTCATCAGAAAACTGTTTTTTTAGAAAGCGTGCTCCTACCGGTAATACGCAAGATCTGAATGATCCGCTATTGCAGAAAAGGTGCCGTGTAATTGAGAGTTCGGTTGCATGTCAAAAGATCCCCAAGTTCTCTGAATCGATTCTCAGACGTTCACTGGGGCGTGTCAAATAATTCGTTTTGTTATTCACATAACCCCCAAAGTTACTTTTAAAGGCCGACGACCAGACCCGAGATTCTGCAAGGCAGAAGACCCTCCTCCCCATGGGGGAGGAGGAAAGAGGCAACGGTGGACAGAGTAGAAGGGGGAGAGGGGGAAGCAAGGGAAAAGTGGAAAGCGCGAACTGGTCGTCGGTCTTTAAGGTGCTTATTTTATTTCTTCAGAGTGATACAACTGTTAGCTACCAGATACTTCTGATGATATGCGAGAAAAAAAATTAATGGGCAGTCTCAATTTCCTGTTGTCTTTTTTTTTTACGCAAGATGAATGGCACTTAGAAAAAAAGTTTAATGACGAAAGGCTTTAAGAACGAATAACTTGTCCGTAATACAAGTTTCTGATTATGTGCGTGAGTTGATGAAGTAAATCTCCTACTAATTAGCTAATGGGTTCGCTGTAATCGATTTGTTTTATATTAAACTTTGAACGACCTAAAAAACGGATAGAATAGATTGAGGGAAAAAAAGAGTATTTAAACCTTCTATTTTCGCCTCCTTTCTCACAACCTAAATAGACTAACCAAGAACTAACATTCCGGTGGGACAAAAAAAAATCAAATAAATATATCTGCTTATTTAAAAAAGAAATTTAAACGTGACCTGGCTGGGAAGTTAGCGTAATTAGCGGGTCACGGAACCAAAAATGCACGATAAATCTCACTCGGCACACTTCATGCTGATGCAGCGCTGAACGACCACACGCGCCGACGTCGTGAGCCAAGAATAACCTACGAACATCCCCCACAAAGAACAAAACAAAAAAATCCGAAACAAGCTAAAGCAAAGACAATCACAACGCTGCGAGAACGTGGCGTGTATATACACATCAGAATCCTTGCAGATAGGGGGGCCGTTTGCCGCACGGCTCCATAACTCACGGTCAATGTCTGGGGGGAAAGTAATAAAAACGAATCTCGTTGACGATAAGCGATACAGAGAGAGTGAAGGCCAACATTTAGAGGTCCTCAACGAGTAGCAGCTTTTTTTTTTTTTCTTTTCTTTTTTGGTATAGGCGGAAAGAACCTAAAGAAAGATGGCCGATACGCGTGTTTGTTATCGTTACGTTGATCAGTGTCGTTCGTTACTTGTCGGATCGAGGTGCACCGAATATTTTGAGCGACGTGAGGGAACGAGATTGAAGCGCACATCAAACAAAGGAAGAGTGAAAGGATGCGTTTGTGTCTGCGGGGTCGGTGACCGCATAAAGTGAGCATTATTATATATACACTGGCTGGCCAGTTGGTTGAGTAGATCGCTTGGCAGAAAATAAAACCGTTAAAAGCATACGAAGTGGGCACTTTTGCGACACAAAAATACTTTTATTGTACCGTGCCTCCTGTACTCCGTTTCACATTAAAACCGACCGCGCAGTCGACGCAGCGATTCGATGGAGCCAGTCAATCAGCGCCAAAAGTGCGTCATCATGGCGCTCGTTATTTTTTTTTTCTTCTGGGTTTGCTATCACAAGCTGAACCAATCACGCCTTCAACGTGCGTGATTGGTCTAGTCGGCGAAAGTAAACGCACAGAGACGCTTCCGTAGCCGGTGGAGGGCAGAGGGATCTACTTCAGTGGCGCTCTTTGCCTGCTTAGTTTCGGTTTCAAGCTGTGTACAAGGGTCAGATTTCTCGCCCCATAACGCTGACTACAATTTTTTTAATAAAACAAATTTACGGTAAAGCAACACAGTAGTGAAGTCAAGTGTCAATTTTAAAACAAAAGATGTGCAGATAATTTTTTTTTTGTTAGTGAGCTAATTAATCCATTTTACTCCTTTGACTCATGGTAATAAAACCCGAGACTTAGGAACACAGAACGGGACGAACACAACACAACGTCTCTTTGAGACGTTGTGTTATGTTCGTCCCGTTCTGTGTTCCTGAGTGTCGGTTTTTTTTTTACTATGAATCATCACCAGCTCGCTTGTTTTTTAAGTATTATTGCAGTTACTCCTTTGCAGTGGTCGGCAGGGTAACCAACTTGGCCCCAGGGTTAAAGAAACGTCAACGCAAGTTCCCCGTTTTTTTATTTTTTTTATTTATGGATCGACTACAAAACGCCCACTCAACGAATAATGGTGCAACTTAAAGAGGCTTGGACAGAATTATTTCTACACTCACTGGTAAAATGCATCCACGCGTGTTCATTACAACTATGATCACTACAAAGTTTACCTTTTAAATACACCCACCCCTGAATGACTTTGCACTGCAAGAATTACTTGAGAAGAAAAAAAAAAGTCACATAGTTAATTTATTTTCTCAGCTTCAACATTCATTTACCCAAAATAAATATATATCTCTTTAGTTATCTGAAACGACTCGAAATGACCCCTAGACATAACTCTCAAAATATGAAGATTAAAAACTGCGTAACTAAGATTTAAAAAAAAAAAAAAAAAAAAAACATTCAGAAAGATTGAATTTGGAGTTTCCGAGCGAGTCAATGACGTAGATTGCGAACTGGTGCAACCTCGCTGTTTCTTGCTCTCCCAGAACGGAAGTGTGGCAACTTGTGCTAAAGATCACTTTTATTCCTTCCTAGGTGAAAAGTTTAGGCGTAGTCCAAAGGAGATGTTGAAGTTTGTAAAATCTAAAGGCAAAGAAGATTGTACTATCCCTCCTATTTTAGCTGAACAAGGTTATGTCGTTAATGACATCGACAAAGCGAACTGTTTTAATGATTACTTTCAGTCAGTTTTTGCAGTTACTACAAGAAACATACTTTCAGAACCAGCTCCTTGTAATTTTGAGGCTATGTCAGATATCACTGTATCGTATGATGGAGTTGTGAAACTTCTTTCTGAACTAAAAACAGTCTCTTCAACTGGGCCACATCATATACCTTGTTCGGTTTTGAAATCTTGTGTACCCATTATTGCCAAGTTCCTGGTTGTCTTGTTTAATTTATCCCTGTCGTCAAAGAAACTGCCTCACGAATGGAAATTCGCGAATGTCGTTCCCGTGCATAAGAGTGGTCCCCGTTCCTTGGTTTCCAACTATAGACCCATTTCACTAACCAGCGTGTGTTGCAAGACTCATGAACATATATAATTAACTCTAACATATTTCATCACTTGCAAGCAAATAATTTTTTTGTCCAGTTTTAACATGGCTTTAGGGCAGGCTTCTCTTGCGTCACTCAGTTAGTCGAATATTCGTATGATGTGTTTTCTTCTTTTGATTCTGGGAAGCAGCTTGATTGTATACTGTAAGACTTTAGTAAGGCTTTTGATACCGGGCCACACTCGTTATTGCTTTTAAAACTCTCATCTTTAGCTTTACCTGTTTCTGTCCTTGGTTGGTAGCAGACTATCTTACCGGTCGCTCCCAAAAAGTAGTCATTAAAGGCTCAGAATCTTACTTTGTTTCTCTAACGTCGGGTGTTCCCCAAGGATCCGCGCTTGGTCCGCTTCTGTTTTTAACCTATATAAATGATATAGGCTTCGGAAGTGGAACTACCTCCAAAATAAGATTATATGGAGATGACTGTGTGTTATACAGGGATATAAATAACCAGGACGACGCTGCCGCTTTAGAAACTGATCTTGATCAAATACTCACATGGTGCAACAAATTGGAAATGAAACTGAATTTTGCAAAGTGTAATTGTATCCGCTTCAGCAGAAAGCGTCTAAACATAGAGACTAATTACTATCTAGATGCAAATCAGATTACCTTGGCGAAGGATGTGAAGTATATGGGTGTTATTTTTTCATCTAACCTAACGTGGAGTAGTCATGTTGAATTTATAACGATGAAAGCAGGACGGGTACTTAACTTTACGAAGAGAAACTTTAAACACGCACCTCGTGACGTCAAAGAAACACTATACATTTCTAACATACGTTCCCTCTTAGAATATGCGGCTGTAGTATGGGATTCCGACACTAAAACCTTAATTAATAAAATTGAGGCCATCCAAAATCACTCTGTCCGGTTTTGTTACTAACCCTTCCCATTTTCATACCAGTGTAACTGCATTAAAGAAAATCATTGTCATGGGAGTCGCTCGAACTTCGCCGGAGGTTCTCAAGGTACTCTTTTCTGAATAAAGTGGTTCGTGAACGTACCGGCATTGATAAGAACATCTACCTAAAACCGCCTACTTTTACTTCCCAGAGATTAGACCACTCGAAGAAAATACGGGAAATATC